TTCCAGTGAGCGCACTGCGCATTTTTTGTGTTTCCTTGTTCGAGAAACCGTATGACTTTGTAGGTCTACCAGATTTAGTTCAGTGCTGCAAGTTTTAAGATTGCCTACTTAAACATATTAATTTTATTTAAAATAATTTGCATCTTTCATTTGAATTTTGCCTTGCATTGCAAACGCAAACTAGCATTTATGTTAAATAACAATTTCAAAAGCATTTTCTCAACAGATGTAGATTCCTTTTTCTGCAACGAGATTTTAAAATATCCGAACCAAGATATTACTTTAATTGTTATACTTTTCGCAGTCCTATTCTATTTAGTAAAAGAAATCTTAAAGTTCAGACTCCGAAGTACTATTCTAAATAATTCTATCAACAACCATCTCAGACTGAAGTTCAGTTTCTAAAAAAATGGGAAACATTTACTCGGAATCTTCTTATTAATATTATCATTACTACTATTACTAATGCAAGGAATAAAGTACCAGTTCGATTCACACTGTGTCTAATGAAAATGGAGCAGTATGAAAAGGTCCTGTATTACCAAGATGCTTGAAAGAGGGATAAATTGCCACGGAAAATACGGAAAATATGAATGATTTTAATCTCGACTCATATGCACACAAGTGATACATGCGGAACAGTATATAGCCATCACTCTGAATGTGTCTAAGCTAATCTTCAAACATGTTGTAAATGAATTCGAATAAATTATTACTAGTATGTAATGTTCTGCTAGTATGTAAATATGTGATCATTTGCTGCAAGTAGAAAGGGGAAGAATTTGTGGACTAAGTGAATGTCGTTTATCATATAGCAATATATATATAGTGCAGAGAAACTTGCTTCTCTAGTTTATGATGACGTTACAGTAGAGAAAATCACGGGAATTTTGATGACATCATACGCTGCGTGTATGCACTGTGAGTGGCTGTGCATCCTCACTTCCGCACATTTTCGTCTGCATGCATATTTTCTTTGAAAAAAGTACTTATAATTTCATTTAAATTCAGTTGCTGTTCTTTTTGTTACATAGGATAGGATAGCACGGTAAAATAAAGATTGAAGAAATAAGGGCCGGTGATATATGTATGGTTTGATATTAGAATTAATGGACAGTCGCGCTTTATATTAACATCTGTCCGTTAGATTCACCCGTTAGTTAATTCAGCCGATTCATTTCTCGTTAGAGTGCTCATTAGAATCTCAGTGTCAAGTTCCCTCATTGATGAAGAGCTCGATATAAATACAGACGTACCGATTATTATGATAGGAGATTTTAATGTAGAAGCGAAAAGCAATTAAAATGAATTCCGTTTCCTAAAGACTTTAATCTGAACATGGTACCTTCGAATTATCCAGGTACACTAGGCAATTCGTTTATAAATCTTACATTCACACGGAATATTACTACACAGCTACTGAATTATGTTGTTTACTTCTCTTATCACCGTCCTGTATTGCATAAAATAGCTACGAATGGAAATTGTGTAAAACGTGAATAAATATTATTTACATTTTGTACAGAATTTGTTTTTCAAAAAAAAAAAAAAAAAAAAAAAAAAATATTAATTTCGTATTCACGATAGGAACAGTAAGTCTAAGCTTTAAACCCCAGCTACCGTTTTTAACAAACAGTGCTTTCTGCTGTTACACAAGAATATGCCTTTCTAATCATTTAAAAATAATAGTGAGTTAAATAGTTTCAGCAATTTAAAGCTATATATTTTAACAATTCAAAAATATTATACAAATTAAAAATACTTTTAATATTACAAAAGTAAATCATAGTCTTCTTTCGTGTAATCATAACTGCTTTTGTTTCGTGCAATTTCGCAGGTTTTATATTTTTGAATCAAATAGTGAAATAGTTTCAATAATTTAGAAATATATTTTAATAATTCGAAGATATTGTAAAAATTAAAAATACTTTTAATATTGCAAAAGCAAACCATATTCTTTCGTGTAATCATACTGCTTTTGTTTCGTGCAATACTGCAAATTTTATATTTTATCCGGGCCCACCAGCGGCCGAGCGGTAAAGTCGCTGAACACTGGTAGTTCGGTCTGAGGTTCGAATCCCGCGAACGGGCTGGCTGCATGGGCGTTTTCGTGGTTTTTTCCCATGTGTAACGTGTATACGAGCCAGTTTCCCTTGAGAAAGTCCTCCAAGAAAGGCATCACAGCTATTACGCAGATAGCCCTAGTGTGCTTTGCCATAATTAAATACACCACCACATCTTAGTTTCAATTCAGCCTGTACACAAATAAAATATTTTTAATTACTAATGTATTTTTATCAGGTTGTTTCTTAAAATACTTTTGTTATACTCAAAATATGTCTTCAATATTAAATTATTTTTCTTTCTGTTATAATTAAAAACAAGTTATATGGAATCAAAATTAAAACATATGCAGCAGTTAAATAACACTGAAGAGTATCTACTTACTCTTTCGCTATTTGTATTCTAGCATTATACACAGATTTGTTTTCCTTCAGAGCAGCTATGTGTAAGTTCACTTAGTTATATCAATTAAATTACATCAGACATATGCATCAGTTAAACAACATTGAAGGAAATATGTTGCTCGCTCATCGATGTTTGCATCATAGTGTGGTCGAGAAATTGTTCTTTCTTCTGAAGCATGTATCAGTTTACTTAGTTCTCAATGCTTAACCCAGACATTGCTTCAATACATAGAATTACTTTTGGGATGTAAAGAAAGTAACCAAAACATGTGAATTAACTTGGATAAGCGAATTTATCAACTAATCATTCAGGTAGTCACTATTGGTAAACACGAAACTGAGATTAAATATCTCGCTATAAGTCTACTTCATAAAAGGAAAATTATGATAAAATGAATAGCACATATTCTGGCATTTTCGATGTTGAAATTATCTGCTCTTTTGGCAGCGAATATAGTCCATAACTTACGAAGTTCTGGATCACTTGGAAAACGATGGTATGTGATGCCTTGACTTTTAGTTTTCCTTCTTCTATAATTCTGACACAACGCTATAGCACAACTGCCATTTCCGACTAGGTATAAAAGCAAATTAACAACACAAATCAAATGTATCCCAGATCAAATGCAACGAATGTAAAAAAGCCGAGAACTAACGACTGTCACCCACATGACGTCATGCGCAGGGCATAATTTTCCCCTGCACTACGCATCGCTCTTGGGCCCCCCCTGGGGCTATGGCGCCCAGGCGTCACCATCGAGATAGATAAGGCCTGCGCTCTGAAACGAAACTGGCTTGTGACGTCACGGTTAAGAGACCCTCAGCAAGCTTTCTGTTGGCTTTTATAAGTTGTAATTTTTTATCCATTATGTTTTAAGAATTGAATTTATGTTTACTTTTGACATCTGAAGCATCATCCCTTGTAATAATTACTAACACTAGTAATATAAAAATTGTCAGCAAAATTTATGATTATTTATTTTAATTGGAAACTAATTTTATATGAAATAACTGTCCTAAGGGGTTAAAAGCATAACACTTATTTCATTACATAATATGTAGAATATCAAATGCAGAGTAAATTTGATTCTTGACAGAGTACTGTGTTCTTAAATTTAAATATCAATGTTTTTTGCAAATCGTTAAATATCATTTTATCATGATGAAACTTAAATGCATATGTTTAGCTAATATAGATTCTGTTCACTTTTATATATGTTATTATCATGCAATCAGTTTGTTTAAAATTTGTTATGCAATATAAATCTTTCTGAGAATGATAGAAAAGTTTCTAAAGTAATGTATGTAAGATTCATATTAAGGTAATTAAATTGCGAAACTGCAAAATGAAATTTTAAAAATGTACAGTTATTGAAGAAGCAGTAGTAATTGAATTCATATGTAGACATACTTGTTTTCATTGTATTCAATTCAATGCAATTTTAAAAACAATTTTTTTAATTATCTTTTAAATTACAATCTTTAATTTGAGTACGTGGCACCACCAAAAGCTATGTAAGTTAAGTTAAAAAAATTGCTTACAGAAAAGTTTTGAACATGATGTTAGGATTTATATTTTCTTTTCATGTGGATATTAATAGAAAAAATATTTTCAGAACAGAGGTAACGCTTATAGTTAAATAGGTATGATGCAAATATTTGCAAGAAATTTCAGTTTCTAAAAGTTTTTTAAGTATTTCGTATATTTTTAAAATATTTTCAAAAAATTGTGTATAACTTTATTTAAAAAACTTTTTTCCTGTCTTATTTGGAATTTTAATATTGATAGTCTTCAGAGCTATGTAATAAACATTATCTCAATTTAACTACAGATTCTGTCGAATAATTATGTAGCATTAAGAGGAAAACATTAACTGTAATACAGATTAACATACAATATGTAAGTAAGAAATAATTTTAAGACTAGACTATTTAGTAATTTATTATGACTGACATAAGGCATTTAAATGTTAGTCTAAATATTAAGTAGTCTCTTGCATTCGTTTGATGTTTTATAATCCTGCTACATTAATATGATAGATATAAAAATATGCAATAATTATAGAATGAGAGATAACATGTGTTCCCACTGGCAAACATTTTGTTAAAGTAGTGGGTGAAACAAAAAAATTTGATGCGGTGATGAGAATCAACGAGAGACACAAAGACAGTGCAGAAAAATCAAAGTAAAAATTTTAGCTACTTGAATTTTAAAACCAATTTTTCTTCAAAGAAATGATTTGCTTTTAAAAGCACCACACCATTCTCAAATAATTTTGTTTTGAAAATAAATACCAACAAAAGAAAATGAAAATATTTCATATTCGTATAAGCTTTGTAAAACATTATATTGCCGCTTGTAATTTTGTTTTAGACTGATTTTATAGTATGAGATACCAATTTCATAGAATAGGTTTAGAAAAACGGGTGTTTAGCAAGGAAGCTAAACTGCGCGAAGACCGGTCCCCTAGCAGTGACGTAGTAACTCAGCGCGCAGGCCTTATCTATCTCGATGGTGACGGCCCAGGCACCCTGGTGGTTAAGCACCGCAGTTCAACTCTCCCCCTCTTCCCTCTTATGAAGATCTGCGAACAATGACTTATATAAATATGTTGATCTTTAAATTTGATTTCTCAAAGATGATGAATGTGTCATTTGTAATATTTCTTTCAATTTTCGTAGTAGTTATAGGAGACGAAGCAGAAGGTACTGAGAATGCTGACAAATATACTATTGAAGGTACTGTCATACCTCCAGATGTTATATCACCCGAATGGTTGTTATTAACTAGAGTATTAGTGAATGGAGGGGAAAGAATAGGATTTTTGAGGTAATTTTCAAAATTTATGAATGTGACGAAAATTGTCTTAGTTCTTTATTAGAATTACTCAGTTCTAGTTTTTTTTTTTTTTTTTTTTTTTTCATTTTATCAGTTATTTTAGTGAAAATTTATTGTTAATTCTTTAATTTTCTATAAGGACTGTAAATTTCATGAATTTTCGCAGTAATTTCTTGCCTGAGGTGGAAATTAATACATCCTGTTTAATTTGGTTACAGTATACACCCTTTATACGGATTTTGAAGTTTATAAATATCTACTCATTTCTGTGTCACTCGTATTTTTTCTTATTTCGATATGTTATTAAAAAATAAAATATTATGTATCCGAGTTGTATAGTTTATATCCGACTAGCAAGCAAGTACTGAAAACTGTTATACTGGTTCACACATAACATTTCTAATAGAAATATTCGGAGAAACTATTTAATATTACAAAAATCAATGAAGTATATCTTGGTGAATTTATGGAAAGAGGTTATTTGAAGGTGTGAACTTTCATGTTCAAAATATTCTTCAAATTAAATTCAAATGTATCATATGAGCTGAGGTTGCTCTTCACAACTGTTAACTTTTTCCAGAATACTCTCGTCTTCCAAATACTGAATAATATCAGGCAAACACTTTACAGCCATGTCTGCAAAAAATGTTCGGCTATAGATGTTTCTTATTGAACATTTATCTGACATGCTTGAGGGCAGCTGCTACCATTAAGTGAAGGCAGGTGTGAAAATATTTGATTTTTGAAGTTTTCTGTCAAACTGAGCATCTTATCCAGGTATTCCACCTAGTTACAAAATGAAATTTTGGTAGGTGGAATTCAGTGGTTTCTTAATATAAAACATTGTGACTGGAAATATTTACAAGAATCTTCTTCGTGACAGCAGTGAAATCATTTATTCAGCTGTATTTCTCCTTGATATTTTCACAAATTCATTATAGTGCATGTGGAGGCTGAGGTACATGAGCTATTAGAAAGCTAAAACTATGTAACATGCTTGATTGCTAATTACAAGGGTGACTTTTTTATAGTGTATGTTCTCAAGAATTGAATGATTGTGATACCTGGCAAATATGTTGCCAAATTGGTATAGCTCAAAAAGCATAGCTTTCATCTAATCACTAAATAATTGAAACACTAGCTCATATTTTCTCAAGAATATTTATTGTCATCAACATTTTAGAAGCCAGGGAAACTAAGAAAAATTAGCATTGCTGTTGCCGGTATTTGAACTCTACTGTTAGCCACACACATTTCCAGTTACACCACAGAGGCACAAAGTAAGGAAGAAGAGAATTACCTTTCACATTCCCATCAAGTGGTTTTTAAATAATTTTCTTAGACTGGAATTTCTGACTGAATCGCTATCATGGTAACTGATCAGATAAGTACTGGGTAAAAATATATTTATGGGTGCTCCTTGGTAATAATAGGCAGTACAGTTTGTGCAATTCTTCGACTTGTTATTTTGGTCTTCCAAAAATCGCCACTACACAAATCCAATATAACAAGTCAAAGAATTTCACCAACTCGGTATCCATGTACACATCAACCTATTTTCACTTAAAAAAATAAGAAAATAGCACAAACTAGGCATTGCGCACTCCATTTGTTCAGCTATACATCGATCTATATTCACTTAAAAAGTCAGAGGAGCAGCCAACAAAAAATTTATAATCTCAATAAACTACATTTTAAATCAATGAATTAACATAAAAAAGGAAATTCGTCTTAGCTCTACACAAAGGAAGTATCCACTTACCTTATTTATAAATTTCCTTGTCTTTAGTTAAACAAAATTCTGTAACAGCATCCAAAAACTTCTTAAAATTGTCTGAACTATAATCTTTATGCTGGCATTGCCACATAACTTCACAAAATTATCCTCTGTAGTGCAGGTATCCTCCGACATTCGACCACGCAAATTTCCTTGGAATGGAAACTTCAAATTAATCTTACAACATTCAGCCATTTCACCGTGTAAACCACAAAATAACATACTAAAACCCATCCCATAATTTAAGTTCATCACAGTCATGCAACCAATTAATGTTATAATAGGTTTTCCATAGCATTCAACTACACAGGTTACCATAAATGAAACAACTTGGTGATAATCCAAGGGGCATCCTTCAATCTACTCCAACCAATTGCAGCTTAATCCCTTAAATTAAAGTGTCACTTCTTATAGTTCGTGATTAAAGAAATTCATCCTACTTTTCATATTGGAATGGATGAGTGATATTCAATCTCTTTGATGCTTTTCATTGACCATAATAATTACATCTCATAGACAGTATATTAAATCACTTAGTTTTGATGAAATGGTTCTTAGTTATTATAAAAGAGCATAAAAACTTTATCCTTTGAACCTTTGGTACATTTTGCTTTGATCAAACAGTCTTGGGGGAAAAAAAAAGACTTTATGTTGACAGCTGGCAGTAGTGAGAAGACTTTTTCAACAAAACCTCTCTAGCTATGCTTTTACGCAGTCGAGTGGAACAAAAAGCCATCCATGAGGTAAAAATGAGATGCTATTTGCTTTTTATAGCCTATTTATGCATCACAGGAATATAGAGTGCAATGATTTTGATGTGCAGTGTTGACAGAATAGAGTACTTTGATTTCAACCAGAAAACTAAGTCATATGAGTGAAAAAAGGCTTAATAATCTGAGGGGGGTTAAAGGTATGAAAAAAAAGTTCTTTACTTTTATCAAGATCAGCTTCAGAAATGTGTGTTGGTATGTGTGTGTATACATACACATATACATACATACATTTCTCATCTGGTCTTGATAACAGAAACGTACCCCTATCTTTCCCCAAAAAAGATTCAGTAACATATATTTGCTTTGGCTTATGACATATATATATATGAATTTATCTCTCTAAAAACCCTTAAATTATAAAATATTTTGTACCATAAAATTCTGTATGTAGTTATCAAATGATTATTTTAGACAGTAGTTTTTTAATAACATATTTAATTTGATTGTCACCTAAAACACCTTTGAGTGATTCTAATCTCTTTTTAACAGTATTTAAATCTGGCAAAATAAAAATCAGTTGATCTTTGGATTATGGTAACTTGGCGATTTTTTGGCGACCAACTCTGCTGCAGCAACCCTCTATTTTTTTTTTTCGCCGCCATTTTGTCTTCACGAAGTAAAGACATGTTTCTTTTCTTTTTATTTACTGAACACTTTTTCCAACAATCTACTAGCCGAATTACACTTATGCTAGAAATTTTATGTAACAAAGCTGCTTAAGCATGACAAATATTAACTGCAAAATTGGGAAAAAGTGCACAATCGCAAACTCCTTGCGCGTTTTTCAGAATAGCACATACGCATAAACCATTTACACGTTGACTTACTTTTACTTAAAAAAAATCCCAGAATTTCACAAAAATGGCATTGCACACACTCTTAACTTTATCCATCTACACTGCTATTTTCTCATAAATTACAAAACTTTGCACGGAAATGCAAAAAAATTCTGTGAATCTTTAAACTCGGTAAAAAGCACATATATGAAATTACCTGATTGTGAAAACGTATATACCCTTTCCAAGGATGAACATTTCCACGTATAAAATAAATAAAATATCCAAAAACTTTTACCTCTAAATTATCTATTATATTATAAACGTCACCAACGAATTCATACCGCAAACATTACAAATGGTTACAAATACTTAGTGTCAAATATTTAAATTATTTCCATACACGTTTACTTCAACTGAAACGTGTACTAAATTCCTACAAACATAAAATTCACAAAATAACTATCATTTAATTAAAATATTACTAAACCATGTACACGTCGACTTATTTTTACTTAAAAAAACATCCCAGAATTGCACAAAAATTGTGCACACTCTTCCCTATATCCATGTACACTGGTTTTTTCTCATAAAATAGAAAAATTTCACGAAAATGCATGAAAATACTCAACGTATTCTACTCAAACGTATTCCAAAATACTACAAACATATAACTCACAAAATCACGATCATTAAATTAAAATATAATTAAATTAAAAAACACTACTTAAAATATAAATAAGCACGTACATTAAATTAATAAAAGTTAGATTACAATCCTAATTACTTTAACTATTGTTGCATATGGATAGAAAAAATTTATTATAATTAAGATGGCTTTTTTAAGAAATTTGTCATTTGAGTGGTAAATTACTGAAATTTTTATGCAACTCAACACATCTTCAGACCATTTCTGTGTAATGGTCAAATCTGCCAATAATCACAATTAAATACTTGTTTTCATTACTATATCAAATAAACATTCAGATCTGTATACTTTTAGGTTGTAATTAGTTTTCCACGATCTTAGAATGTTACATTTTATTTGTATTTTCTAGAAGTCTAGAAAAATTATCATCTTCAAAAGATTTTTTCTTATCTTATTGTTACATTTGCATAAGTAATGATTTTGTTTTAAATTCCTTGATAACAGACAGTGATTGCTTTAACTAGATGAAATGTCTCTTATCTTAACAATAATTACATATATTTCCAAGTAGCTGTTGAGAAATTGAATATCATATGATTTACTATGTTAACTAAAATCATGTTGTTGAAAAAGGTAAAGCAGGTGTAACAACTACTACATAAAAAATTTCAACTGACCAACCTAAGTTAAAATTTTTTAAAGCATATTATGCTACTAATGGTGGATTACTGTGCACATTATATAAAGTGCATTTTATTATGATATGTGGGTTGTATCATAAGATGATATCAATATATTATTATTTGTGTTATAAAAAAGTATCTCATTATTTGTTACAGGAGTGATGGAAGTTTTCATGTCACCAATGTTGAACCAGGATCTTATGTTGTTGAAGTTGTCAATCCCAATCACATATATGAACCAGCTAGGGTAGATATAAATTCCAAAGGCAAGTTTCGAGCTCGAAAACTGAATTATGTTCAAACAAATTTAGTTCAACAAGTTCCTTATCCTATGAAATTCAAAGTTCGGGCTCCATATAAATACTTCCAGATTCGAGAAGCTTGGAGAATCACCGACTTTTTAATGAATCCAATGGTAAGTACATGATTTTTTTGCATTAGTGTTGAAAACTGACAACTTGAAGCTTTAATATTAGAAAATTATTGATATTTGGGTTTGATATAATTGCCAAGCCTTGTTACAAAACCTGTAAATGCTTAATAAATAAAACATGAAAAATGTGGGTAGGTAAGGGTGTATTTTACTCTGATAAAAAAAGTCAAGTTTTATCAGACAAATAAAATGAATTATAAGACATTTAAGTAACTTTTTTAGCAAGACTTTATTTTAAAGTTGATTTTACTTTTTTCTTACTGTATACCATCTTTTCTCACATAATTATAAAAATGGCCATAAGTCATCTCAAAATTATAATGCCAAATCAAAACTGCTTCGATTGTCTCTACTGACAACCTGTTTCTTTCATCTGACCATTGAGTTGAAAGTATTTTCTCCACATTTGTATTGTGGTCTGGGATGGCAAAAATGTATTTACGTAGCTTTATTAGGCATGATCAGTATACTTTCTGTCTGCAAAAACCTTAAGCCATTTCTCTTCCATAGTGAATTTTATAGTTGTTCCGCAGTTTGGGTTGGTATTATTTTTCAATAAATAATTTTTTATATATACAGACCGGCTGAGTAGCATCTCAGTGTTACCAATATTGATGTTTCTTACTCGTAAATATACAGTAGTACATATTATTTCTTCTCATTTAAGATCTTGTTTGAAAGTCATCCGGTCGAGCTTATTGAATTTTTGGAACAATTATGACCATTTCTTTTTATATTCCACAAAAGTATTAAAAAAATAAAGAGCTTAGCATTATCTGTATTGATTAAGGTTTCAGTAGTTAGGCCCTACTGGGCTCTAGCTGTCTTATCCAGAGTTTAGGGAGAAAATGGAACAAATAGTAATATTGGACTGAGTAGTTAAATATGGTTAAAGCCGCAATAATATGGGATGTATGACAACCCTACTAATATTAATATATATATTCTAGAATCACATTAAATAAATACAATTCTGATATAGGTATAGAAGTATACCTACAAAGTCTCCGATTGGAAGCTAAATAGTTCTTGAAAGATACCATATGATACTTTTCTTGAAATATACTAAGCCTTTTTTATCTGAAATCATTATAAAACAAAGTGCTGGGTGATCCATAAATAACAGAAAAATAAAAAATTAATCATTTGAAAAATGTAGATATGATGCGGTTTCCATAGAAAGGCATGGAATTTTTTTATAATAGCTAAAAATTTTATTGTCATGGAAGTAACATTTTTCACTAGCAGAAGGCTAACAGTCCCGGAAAATTGTCATTTCACATGGGATCATGTGACAATCACTAAGGATTATCCTCGAGATGTAACCTTATAAAAATCAACATGTGCACTCTAGCTGATACCAACTGATTTCAAAAGATGTCATAAATTTGTAAACTGAGTTTTTCAACAGGTGCAAAACAATCCGGACTGCTGTTAAATATTCTTTGAACTGATGAGGTGGACTTTTTGCTTAATGGTAATTGTTTTATTAAGAAAGTTTGTTTAAATGTACACAACTGCCACATCTGGGCAAGGGAGAACCCACATATGATTTTGAAAACTTATTGCAGTACCTGAAGATGATACGACTTCATTATTCATTACAGGCTCTTTTTTATTTGAAGAAGCCTGCAGCAGTACATTTCAAATTGCATTATCATAGTTGATCATAATGCAATATTTTTAAGAGATGGCATTAGAGGCAGTATTCCCTTCTTGCAAGAAAGACAAGTTCTCCATAGTGCAATGTTTGTATTAGATGGAGTGCTTCTGCACAGAACCTGTCTAGCATCTGCTGTGATCAAGACTTTTTAAAATGACTGTGTTTTCAGTTTCTTTTTTTTCTACATGAATAGCTGTAAAACCCTGCAGACCTTGCATCTTGTGACTTTTGTTATGGAGCAAGTCACTGGTATGTAGAAATTAATTCTATAGATAGGCATAATTTCTTATTCAGTTCCATTGTTCAATTCTTGTAATTGCTGTGTAGAGAATTGCCATTAAATCGTCATTTGAAATTTTGTTCTGTTCTGACACTTTGTAACTTTCTTCACTGTTGGTAGTGATATTTTCTGGATTTAGAACCATACTAGAGATTTTGCCATTGATTAGGTGATTGATGTTTGGGGCATTACCATCACATATAACTAAGCATTTATTCCATATCCTGAAGGATTATCAAAGTCCTGAATAAGTAAATTCCCACATATACTTAACACCTTAACTGCCACAGAAAACTTACAAGATTCGCTCCCCAGTCCCACCATGTTTTTACACAGGTACACATATTTATGCGATGTGTTAGGGGGAAAATAAGTGCAAGTTTTGCTGTCTAAAACTGTTTAACAAAATAAAGAGAAAATGAAAATACAAAATTTAAGAGTAAAAGTATAATAAAAAAGATATAAGTATAATAAAAATGATGTTTGTATAATAAAAAAGACCTGAATGGAAAGTGTAGAGGTGGCATAGGCAAGTCTTTCATGTCAAGTTGTACCCAACGTCGAGCTTCTTTCGGGTAATAGTCGCAATCCTCTTCATCTGACGTTGTGGTGTCTCTTCATGAGTCATAATTTCTCAAGTTGATTTCGTTTTCAAAAAACAGGTTGGGAGAGCATAAGAATTTCAAATCAAAACTTCAAGATTTCACAAAACATAGAAATAACATTTATTAACAATAAACTTAATGATATTGTATATTACTTCTGCCTATAGCGGCCATGAAAACATAATCAAGCATCAAAAGGGTATGACATGCGTCATTCTTCATGTTCAAGCGTCAAGTGGAATATTTTTCATCGGGGTGCATCAAGAGCGCCACCTATCTACCGAAAAGACGGAACATAATCCGATGAACATTGGTTCATTACAACATTATTATAGATCTTCAATTTTAGATTTAAACAAGTTTCCCAAACATTCAACAGTATCATATAAAATAACAATGCATAATGACAAATTTAAATTGAATAGCAACATTAAATTTAGCACAAAAATTTACAAATAAAACATACTTACAATCTCTAGAAGGAAAACAAAATAATGAAACTGCTAAATTACCATAATCCACAATTGTGATCCATTCTCTGAATCTGAAAAATAATTGAATTAATAATAATAATAAAGACACAAATTATGAATATACAGTTAATGGTTTTTTTTAGAGTCTTATTCATTCAATGGTAAGCGGGAAAGTTTATGTATAGGATGCTTCATTTTGCCCAATAAAGTTTTTAGTTTCACAACACGAACTTTTCCATCAGCACCAGGATATAGTTCAATTACTCGTCCAAGTCGCCACTTTAATGGAGGCAAATTTTCGTCCTTTATCAAGACTAAGTCATTGAGGGCTAAATTTGGTTTATCCCTCAACCATTTGGCACGCCCTTGTAATTGTGAAAGATAATCTCAAGACCAACGTTTCCAAAAGCTCTGGAAAATTTGCTGTGTCAATTTCCATCTTTCAGCAGGGGTTAGCTTATTATTTGTAAGATCAGGTTCAGGAATTGCTGTTAATGTAGTCCCAATTAGGAAATGTCCAGGTGTTAACGGATTAAAATCTTCAGGGTCAGGTGAGATGGAAACTATTGGCCTGGAATTCAAACACGCCTCGATTTGTGTAATTAAGGTGTGAAATTTTTCGTATGTCAGAACCTGGGTCCCAGTAGTCCGCTTTAAATGAATCTTCATTTGTTTCACTCCAGCCTCCCAAAGGCCTCCAAAGTGAGAGGCAGCAGGAGGATTGAAGATCCATTGAATATTTTCACCGCTCAGGTAGTTTTGAAATGCTTCCTCAGAGAAAAGTGTAGCTATGTATCTTCTTAATTCTCGATCAGCCCCCAACAAAGTTGCTTCCTCTATCTGAAAAGATTTTTTTGGGGGTTTTCCTCTGCGTGACACAAATCTTTTCAGAGATGCTAGGAATATTTCAGTTGTTAGATCACTGACTACTTCTAGGTGAATGGCCTTTGTGGTGAAGCATATGTAAAGGCAAACATAACATTTATATCTCGTTCCCCCTCTTCCTTTCCTAGCTTTAATTAAAAAGGGGTCTGCAAAATCTAGTCCTGTATTCGAGAATGTTCTGTCCGGCAATACGTGAGAAGCAGGTAGGTCGCCCATTATCTGACTGGATGTGCTTGTTCGATTTTTAAAACATTTTATACATTTCCAAATTATTTTTCTTACAATTTCTCGGCCATTAACGATCCAATATTTCTGCCGCAGACTAGATAATGGTAATGTGGCTCCTTTGTGAAGGTTCACTTCGTGAAAGTGTTTGACTATCAATTCAGTAACTTGGTGACTTTTGGGAAGAATGATTGGATACTTTGTGTTTTCTGAAAGATTCGAGTTGCAGAGTCTACCACCGACCCTAAGGATTTCTTCTCTATCAAGAAAAGGATTTAATTTCAGGATTTTACTGCTGAGATTCAATTCTTCCCTGCTTTCAAAAGTCTAATTTCTTCTCTAAATTCGGCATTTTGCATGATTTAAAAAATCAAATTGCTTGCCTTATCCAATTCTTGAACTGTTAAAAAACCCTTGAGTTTTAAAGATGTAGGTTTAATATTGTGGCAGAATCTTAAACACCATGCAGTTACGTGTTTCAATTTTTTCCAGGATGAAAACCTGGATGTCAATTCAAATTCAGCCTCTTGGCTAATAACAGAACATACAGTAGTTTGACGCTGTTCTACCTGTACCTCTTCCACCATAGGCTCGATCAAAGGATCAAAAGATGATGAAGGTAAATTTTTCTCTTTTAACCACACTGGTCCATTGAACCAAAGTTTATTTCCCACCATTTTTCATCGGGACGCATCAAGAGCGCCACTATCTACCGAAAAGACGGAACAGATGTAATATCATATTCTGAGATGTCCAATCCTGAACATGATAGAAACAATGTGCATGGTGTAGAACTGAGCTTGGATAACAGAAACAGGTAACTCATTACATGCTGCTTCAAGTCTATGCCAAACTTCATCAACCATATTAATTGGAGAGAAGTCGCAGGCCAGTCTCTCAGTAACCAATGACCAGATGTTTTCAATGGGTGACAGATCTGGAGACTGTGCAGACCAGGACAGAAATCGAATATCTTGTGTATCGAGAAAGGTCAGACCAAAACGTACAACATGTGGTCTTGCATTATCTTGTTGCATCATCTTGTTTGGCACGCGTCGAAGATAGGGCATAACCACTCTACCTAAAATGGGAGATATGTACCGATTTGCGTTCAAATTACAATTGATCCAAACTAGAGATGTGCGTGTCTTGTACCCAATCGCTGCCCAAACCATCACATCAGATGCAGAGCCCCTATGCCGTTATCGATTGCAAGCAGGTGACGTGTGGTCTCCTTGCAGCCTTCAGACACGTATACGGCTATCAGCATACTGCACGCAAAACCAGGATTCGTCTGAAATGACAACATTGTGCCACTACTCTATCCAACTTTGTCATTTGCCACATCAGAGTTGCATTTGGTGCATCAGATGCAGGGCCCCTATGCCATTATCGAATGCAAGCAGGTGACGTGTGGTCTCCGTGCAGCCTCCAGACTGTATACGGCTATCAGAATACTGCATGCAAAACTGGGATTTGTCTGAAATGACAACATTGTGCCTCTACTCTATCCACTGCTGTCATTTGGCACACTTCTATCAAATTCACTCTCTCTATGCTGCATTGTCAAGGGAGACTGAAGTAATTGTCGCCATGCTGATAATCCACGCTGCTGCAAACATCAATGCACCGTACGAGCGGACACTGGGCGTGCTGCAAACATGCCTGTTTTCTGACTAATGTTCTGTGATGTGGTTGCACAGTTCTGCAGGGCTGACGTCACAATATGTCTGTCCTTCCGGGCGTTCTTCATGGGAGAGCGCCGAGATCATGCGTGCTGTTCAGTATGACTCTCAGCAACCTATTGATTCCATATTCGCATGACAGTGGTTGGATGTCGACAAGTGCGACGCCCAATATCACGGAACGATAATCCACATTCTTGATAGGCAATGATCCTAACTGTATCGAATTCCGATACTTGCTGGTAAGCATTTCTTATTATTTGAGGATAACATGATATTCTCAGCAAATCCCGACCTTACAAAATGCTTTTCAAATGAGAAATACACTACTCAACTTTTATGCAGTGCTTCAGATGTCATTTCTCCCTCCTGTGTCATCTGAATGCGCCGAAACACTACTCATTTGCACATCCCGATCTCTTCTTTCTTTCATGTGGTTTTGACGTTCTTCATATCCTTCCTTTCTGGTGTTGCAATTTTTATGGCCAGCAGTGTACTTGCCTGGAAAACGGTGTACCATGACATGACCATCAACGTGATGAATAAGAAATCATGATTCATCTGAAAAGGCAACTGTCTTCCACTTATCTGTAGTCTGGTCTCTGTGTTCCCAGACACATAGTGGTCGTAGTTAACAATGACGTTTGGTTAACAGAGGCACGTGAGTGGGACGTCTGCTCTGCAGTCTGATATTTAAAAGTGTCCACTGAACTTTGTGTTCCAAAACACTAACAGTTGAACCTGCATCTTTAATGGGCTGTCAGCTAAGCTGCTGTCTGGTGCCGATTTCGCTGTACAAAATGGGACAGTCTCTGATGTCCTTTTTCTTTGATGACATGCGGATGTTCAACACCTTGGTATCTACTGCTGGTTTCACCATCATTTATTTACTTTGCATAAATACTGACAATGGCAGATCGTGAACAACCTTCCTGTTGTGCAGTTTCGGAGATACTCGTTCCAAGTTTTCCGGCCATTACAATCTGCCTTCTATCAAATTCACTTAAATCAGAAGCCTTGTCCGTCACTTGCAAAAGTAAGTGCGAGAATGATTCCTTACCTCCTCCAGCAGCAGTTAAATACCATTCTTACTTAATCATGAGCCCTCCACGTAATCCAGATGAGTTCATTGAATCGTAGCATGTTTGGTTTTCTTAGTTTTGGCTTATCAGTTTATGTGCCCATGTATATAGACACATACACACGTACCTACTTATATACGTGCATACGTGAACACGTACATGCATATATACCTACACACAGACATACATTTCTGAATCCAGTCCTTGATAACAGAAGTGTGCTAATTAAACTTATGATAAACAATAATTAGCCTGTGATGATAATTGCAGCCTTTGATTTCTGAAAACAGTGTTCAGTTTGTAAAAAACATTAAAAAATGAACCTTCTTTATTTATATATGTGTTCATATATTGAGAATTTGTATTAATTGTTATATGACATTTGTAACTAAGCCTTAAAAATTCTTTAGGTTTTGATGATGGTATTACCTTTGCTACTTATTATGGTTTTACCTAAAGTGATGAATGCTGCTGATCCAGATACTCAGAGGGTAAGTTATATTTATAGTTACATATCCAACTTTTTGGATTGCAGGTAATCTAATATTATTATTATGGGGTAATATGGAGAGATTATTTAGTTAAACTAATCTTAAATGATTCAAATTATTGTTGATGTAAACTTAAGTTAATGTAAACTTTTATGTAACAATTGTCTTTTTTTCTGCATTATCATTGCTTTATCTATAATCCCATTTCTATTATTTACTTTTTTAATGAAGAGATTAAAGAAAATAAGGAAAAGGTTGAATCCGTTATTATAAGAACAATATTCTCTTCACATCCAAATCAATAAAAAAATGTAAACTCCAATTTAAGAAATTTAAGAGAATTCAAGTTCCCACAAGTCTGTAAAGATTTAGCTTTGTGTTATTCAGACTTTAATATTGCAATGCACATGCATATTGTTTTGATCAACCAAGCAATATTAGTCATACAATTACTTAAAAGTATAATATTATTATTTGAATATTGTCATTAAATTGTTTTAAGCCTTGGCCATTTATGTCAGAAAAATTTAGTCTTTTTCCTATTTTTGGCATATTGTAAGACATCACCAAGAATGTATAAAATATGGTGCACCTAGGTCATCTAACCAACTGCTGCTGCTGTTTCTTTGTTCTTAATCCATGCTGTGAATGAAATTTAATTTTATAATTTAATTAATATAATTGAAAAAGCTGTAGATGAATATAATTACATTAAGTGATGTTTGCCAGTACAACAACATTATCAAATAAGAATTTTGTATAGTTATTTAATTCATTATTATAAACAAATAACCATAACTTTGCAACAAAAAATTCAAAAATTTGTTTTTTAGGGGGTTAATTAACTAAGATTTATACGCTCCCGGTCAACTTAATGACACTAAGCAGGCTGTACCAAGCTTGAACCCCCGATATCAGGCATGGGTGGTTATTCCAACCAGAAAGCCACCTTGGAAATGGATTAAATACACCAGCTGAAGACCTGGAGCCCACATCCTTGAGTGGGCAAACTAGCCAAAAAGCCACCTTGGAGATGGATTAAACACATCAGCTGAAGACCCGGAGCCCACAACCTCAAGTGCATCTGCTTCAAAATTATCTCCCTTTGTTAAAGAGACCCACTGCTGAGCTTGTCAGCGAAGACCTCTGTCCCAATGATCAGAGACCTCGATGGGGTGGGCTGATTACCTGGAACTATGACTGGTCGTTCATGATGCTACCTTCTAGTACTATGTGGGCAGCCCCTCACTGCAAGCTTTATACCAAATACTGAGGACAACAGAGATTAGGTGCTCAATGGCCCAGGCGTTATTCGGCTACTGATACCGATACCCTCGTTATGGGGACTTAACATCACCGGACCCATGAAAGGTCGGTATCCTTTTCCCACAGATCGTCAGGAGCTGCAGGCTCATGCATTTTGTATCCTCGTGGCCAAGGCTGCGTAGGTAGAGATCCTAGCCAGTAGCTTCACAGAGTTCTCTGCATCGACCCCGGGGGGGGGGGATAATGCATTCTTTGTAAACCACTGATTTAGTTGAATCCTTTTGATCTGCAATATCTTTCTAATTAAAAATTTAAGCTTACCACCATATGCAATTTCATTAACTCTCTGAGCTATTTTTTTTTTTTTTATTTTTATTTTTATTTTTTATTTAGCCACCTACACAAATATAGAAAATAAGCATTAGGTACATCCCTTCCCCAAAAAAGGGTTAAATTATGGATTATTAGTGTTGCTAGTTTTTTCTCTCCTTTTCCCCGTTAATAGCCAAATTGTTAAGATTGCTGAATACTAATAGTTCAACCTGGATTCAATCCCAGGCGAATGGGCTGGCTGCATGTTTAGTTTTCTTAGTTTTTCCCATGTGTAACATGAATATGAGTCTGTTTTCAGTAAAGGGTTCTCTGTGGAGACATCTCCTACTTTACTAAAAATGTGATGAAATCAAAACCATAAACACTGACATTGAGATAATACGTTTTATCTAAAAATTGTCTTTTGTGCATTGAAAAAAATATTGAAGACTAACAGCAAAATACATTGTCATGTCTTAAGGGAAATTTAATGGTAACAAAATTGTGTAGCTTTTTCTTGTGCCAGCTTTAAAAATGCATTCAAATTAAGTAACACTAACAACAAAAATTGCATTATAAGTGATGTATAATTGGATCCCAAGAAATAGATAAGTTGATCTTTGTCTTTTTTACTTTTGCTGAAAAAGTAAAACTTCATAATATTAAAATATTTACTTTTTTAGTTGTAGACAAATTTTAAAGCTTTATTTTTTAGAAATATAAGTTTATTCGAAATATAAACTATTGAGATTTGATGATAAACCTGCCAACTATTTTGTTAGTATAATTAATTTTATTTTAATGTTATTATTCCAAGAAAACCAACAGCTGTAATATGAGAATAAAGTTAGGAAATGATGTTTTACTTATTTGTATTTTAGATGGTGTAATTAAAATTAGATTTTCTTTTTTTAAATCTAAAGGGGCTTTGCCTCTCAGGGGCTCACGATCCTGGAGCCCTTAGTGATCTTTTCTCCTTTCCTTTACACCTATTCTTCTCTCTCCTATTTCCATTTCTTCCGACTTTGTGGTTTCCTTTTTTGGAGGTTCAGGCTCAAAGTGAGATTCTGTCACATTCCTTTGTTTAGAGTTTCTCATCGAGAGAAAACCACCTGCACTTTTGTCATGTATTGTGACCCGTAAGGCTGGAAAGGAGGGTCCTGATAGTTGAGGGGCGAGGTACTGTCCCCAACACACTGCTTTGGCCTCTGCTTCAGATTGAAACGGGAGGCATGTAGTTGTCCCCGCTAGTGTCAATCAGCTGGTCACTTGTTCTTAAGGACAGTGGCTTGGGTATAAGCTTTCGGGAGAGCTGACTGTGGGGCTTCAGATTGGGTATAGACCCGGTTAACCGTGGCATAGGTTTTTGCATCCCCTTGTTGAACTCCGTGGTGGGGTGGGGCTGCCGTGTCCAAATCATTTCTCCCTTCAATATGGAAAACTCAACATAATGCATCAGAAAACATTTCAATTTCAAATAAAAAGTTAAAAGCAAATGTAAATGCAAATTCTCAACAAGTAAAATCTTTTTCTCGTTTTGTAGTTCTGACAAACACAGCAGGCAAAATTTGAAAAATGTCACAGTTTTTGAAACAAAAACTTATACAATCCTGTGCCGGTGAGCCCAGAAACATCAAATGGCTTTGCTCGGATGATCTTCTAATTAAAACTACAGCTCCTAGCCAATCTGCAACCGTTTTTGCTCTAAAGAAACTAGGAGCTGTCAAGGTAGAGGCCTCAGCTCACAAAACCCTGAACTATAGTTGCGGAGTAATCTCTGAATTTGATCTGCTAGACGTCTCGGATGAAGAATTTGTAACTGAGCTCTCTGCCCAAAATGTCTGTCTGTGCTGCTAGGCGAATCAAGATGCATAAAGATGGCCAGTTGGTAAATACCCAAAACATTATCCTGACCTTCAACACACCTGATTTGCCAAAAAATGTAACGGTTGGGTATCTTCATTGCCCAGTAAGACCATACATCCCAAACCCCATGCAACATTTCCAATGCCAGTGCTTTGCCCACTCAAAAATGTCCTGTCGAGGCCAACCCACAAGTGCTCGCTGCTCTGTGGAGGGCCATGACAGTGATAATTGCAATGCTGTGCCACTGTGTATCAATTGTAAAGGAGAGCACACAGCGTTCTCTCACTTGTGTCTCAAATGGAAAGCTGAGAAGGAAGTACAGATCCTGAAAGTATGCAGAAGCTAGAAAAATTATGGCTAATACACAGCCACGTTTAAAAGTTTTATACGCTGATGCTGCAAAGAAATTCAAAACAGTAGAAGTCCAAACCATGTAAAAAGACAAATAATGAACAAGAAAATACCTTTAAAATAAATGTAATAGGATGTAATCCAGGAAATAACAAACTAACAGAAACCAGCACTACTTAAAACAAAGTAATTGGAACAATAAACACCAAGAATAAGTGCTTAGAAAACAATCCGGCATCATCAAGTAAACCAAATGTACTGAAACAATCCGAAACTCCCATTGTTAAGCATAGGAGTCAAAGTGACAGTTCACTTGAAAGTGTGCGCTCTGACTTTGATAATATGGAAGTTGAAGGTGGACTGGAACTTCTGAAAACTCTCCTTCCTCATCTAAAAAAGAAACAACATCAAAGAAATAAACTTTCATAATGGCCAACATTATCTCATGGAACTGTCGTGGTTTCCACCAGAGTCTCTCGAATATCAAGAACATGATTGATAAGCATCAGCCAGTTTGCTTCCCTTTGCAGTAAACACATCACAAAGCCAATAGAAAAGCCAAACTTGGGAGGTTTTCATTTACGAGAAAAAACAATGTTATTAGTGAACGTGTCTATGGGGGTGTAGGCCTTCTCACCTCACATGACTATCTGTCCACTGTCCTTCCGTTAGCAACATCACTTCAAGCGGTTACTATACAGGCTAATTTTAAAGGATTAATTTCTTTTGCTTCCATGTATCTGCCTTCGAATGAAGCTATCGATCAGAGAGAACTGGATGAGTTGATAGAGCAGCTGCCAGAATCGTTTTTTATTATTGGATAGTTCAGTGAACATAGTCAGCTTTGGGGAAGTAGAGATACAAATTCCCGAGGTAAGCAAATTGAGCAGTTGATTAAAGATGTCCTGTCAGGATACCTACTTTCATGAGCCAACAAGGACGTTTCACGCTCTTGATCTTGCCATCTGTTCACCATCTCTGTTGCCCTTCTGTACATTTAGTGTTGGAGATGATCCTCACAATAGTGATCATTTCCCTATATTTGTAACATTTAGGAATGAATGAAGAGAAGGACTGAATCCCATCATAAGACCCTCACGTTTTATATTTGAAAGGGTGGACTGGGAACTTTTCTCCTCTCTGGCCCAACTTACAGAAGAAGTTGTCAATGATGTGCCGGTCGAGAACGCAGTGAAAGCCGTTAC